TTTTTTTTTTTTTTTCTTCTAACCCATCTGTGTCTTTGGATCTAAAGTGAGTCTTTTCTAGGTAGCATATAATTATTCATTCTGCCTATCTCTTGTCTTTTGATTGGAGAGTTAACCCATTTACATTTCAAGTATAGTTGGCCTTCTGTTTATAAGGGTTCTGTATTCAGCCAATCTTGGATCAGAATATTCAAGAAAAAACAATTGCATCTGTACTAAGCATGTACATACTTCTTTTTTCCTTGTCATTATTTACTAAACAATATAGTATAACAACTTTTTTTTTAAGAGTCTTACTGTGTCATCCTCGGTAGAGTGCTGTGACATCACAATTCACAGCAACCTCAGACTCCTGGGCTTAAGCAATTCTCTTGAAGTTTGAACTCTCTTCAGTTCAAACCCACCAGCCTCAGTGTCCGTGGCCGGTGCCGTAACCACTGTGCTATGGGCACCAAGCCAGTGTAACAGCTATTTACATAGTATTTACATTGTATTAGATATTACAAGAAATCTAGAGATGATTTAAAGTATATACAGGACACAGCATTTGCATTGTATTAGGTATTTTAAGAAATTGAGGAAAAAGAAAAAAAAAGAAAGAAATTGAGGCTCGGCACCTGTAGCTCAGCAGTTAAGGCTCTGGCCACATACACTTGGGCTGGTGGGTTCAAACCCAGCCCGGGCCTGCTAAACAACAATGACAATTACAACAAAAAAGTAGTCAGATTTTGTGGCAGGTACCTGTAGTCCCAGCGACTTCGGAGACTAAGGCAAGAGAATCACTTAAGCCCAAGAATTTGAGATTGCTGTGAGCTGTGACACCATGGCACTTTACTGAGGGTGACACAATGAGACTGTCTCAAAAAAAAAAAAAAAAAAGAATCTAGAGATGATTTAACGTATATACAGGAGCCTTCCTTCAGAGGATTTCTGTGAGACTTAAATATGACCAGTGGAAAGCTCCTTGTGAATTGTTGAGCCCATGTACCTTCTGACTTCTATTACAGTTACCTTTTCCTCCTCCTTGCAGTTATGTTCTAGACTATGTAGATGGATACATTTGTGGTTTTGAGTTGATAATAAGTATAACAGTGTTCAGTACCTCATCTATAACCAACCAACCTTTCATATAAATGCAACTATCTTGTTCTTTTAGGTTTTTTCCTCTTTACAAACAAGTATGTGTTGGGAACCTGCTGTCTTTACTGTACTACACTAAGGCTTGTAGGAAAAGCAGTTATTTCATAAGGTCCTGCCCTGAAGTAGTACAGAGTGCAGCCAGGGAATAGGGTCGACACATAGGGAAGTTTGTGCAGCAGCCCAGGAGAGACCAGCATGTAGCAGGCACCGTGGGATGGACCTTAAGGGCGAGGTCCTGGGCCACTGGAGCAGGAAGGAAGGGATAGGCCTCTTAGAAGAAGCAAGACTGAGCTGGGCTTTGCAGGATGGGACAGTGGTCTGCACAGAGGGACAAGAAGCAAAGTGCAGGTAGGACCGGTGTGAATGGCTTGAGTAGGAATAGGAGAGATGCGTTCAGGGGACACGTTTTCTCAGAAGGCACTTTGAGAATATTCTCATTGCTCCTCCTTATTTTGCAGATGAAGAAGCTGAGACTTGTAAAACAATTTGCCTGAAGTCATACAACTAGTTAATGGTAGAGGTGATCCTAGAACTCTGTTGGATCTGTTGAGCCTCAGAGCATTAAAATCCTTAAGTAAAATGATGGCACTTTCCATCAGAGCACCATCTGTTGAATTACATGGTTAAGATTTTAAATGGAGGAATGAAAGAAACAACTATGTATGTAGCAGTAAATTGAATAGCTACAGTCAAAAAGTGTCAGACTGGTGACAAGCACTGCCTGCGGACAACCCCAGGCACAGACAATTGAGTAAAAGCAAGATGCTTACTGCAGACACCATTTGTGTGAAAAGCATAACACAAGTCTATTTCTATGTTTATATGACATAGCACCTAGAAAAATGTCTGCAAGGAGGCAGTCCAGTGGAGAGTACCTTTGGGGCATGGATGGGGGGTGTCAGGGATGCTTGGCCTCTGTTAGGAACTCTATAGGGCTGTTCATGACTGGAGGACCCTGCATTCCTGGACACCTCCAGGGGTTCCCAGAGAACAGCCTCTGCTCCTCTAGCCTGGCTTGTAATTGTCTGAGCCTCATAGCCTGTATAAAGCAAGGCAGATAAAAGTTGTGGACAGATAATACTCATAATGCACTTGATCTTACAAGTTGTCTGTCACATGGATTTGTATGGTATCTGCAGATACCGGTTTCTTTTCAATTAATTAATTTATTTACTTATGAGACAGAGTCTTACTTTGTTGCCCTCAGAAAAGTGTCGTCGTGGGGTCATAACTCACACAAACTCAAACTCTTGGGCTCCAGTGATCCTTTTGCCTCAGCCTCCCAAGTAGCTGAGACTACAGAGACTACCTGCCACAATGCCTGGCTAGTTTTAGAGACAAGGTCTTACTCCCAAACTCCTGAACTCAAGCAATCCACCGGTCACAGGCTTACATTACAGGATTTAGGATTACCGCATGAGCCACCATGCCCAGTCTGGTTTTTTTTT